ATATATATATATATATATATATTGTCAGTGAAAGTGTCATGATGCCATTTCTAACCTTAGGTCTCTCAAGGGACCCGGAAAGAAATGTAAACGCCAGAAGTGAAAGAAAATAATAATAATAATAATAATAATAACCAGATTCTAGTCTGCCAAATCATTTAATCGACGTTAAAATTGATCACTTTTTAAAAGAAGTTATTAAGCAAAATATGTAAAACGATTCGTATATATTGAGTCGGTTCAGACCCTTCAGAAATATTACGAACACTTCTTCTGTGTGTTGTATCACTTCAAGACGGAGCGATCGTGGCTCTTCACAATTTCCTTACCTTTGTAGCTCTTAATAAATTTTGTCTCTCTGTTGCCTCTCTTAAAACTTGTTGCGCGATCCATTTACTCAAGCTTACTAATTATGTTATGAGTTGTTTTCCCCTGTCCTTCTTGTCCTGTGAGTGTCATATTTTCTAAGACCTCTTTCCTCATTATGTGATGTTAACTATAAGCTTCTTTTTTGTTTCCATTGTCTCTAAAACTTCGTCGTTGCTCACATGTTTGGTCTGGGACCGAAAAATCTGACAGATCGGTGCAAACACTTTGAACAACGAAGAGACACCTGTTGCAGTTTTTTGTGTATAATATCTAACTAGTGAGTTAGTTCAAATGCCTTGACTCGCTTTATAGTCTACCAATAGAAGGTTAACCAATCAGAAGACGCAGAACATTCTATCCGTCGTGTATAAAGGCGGCCATTTTTATTCACTCTACCCGAATGTCCAGTCCAGCTTGTCAGGCGAAGAGAACCAGAAGGACGAAATATGCTCTGCTACTTTTACCAAAATATCCACTGCTAACCTGAACAACGCTTTCCTACTGTCTTCGAAATATTCACTGCTAACCTCTGGATTCTATACTCGAAGACGACCGTCATTATGAATAACAACACCTAGTCACCAAACCCGGACTATTTCCGACGTTGGACCAAGGGACTAAATGCCAAATGAATAATAGAAAGAAACCGAATGACTCGCGAAGAGTATCATCAAGTCATGACTTCTTTTTTCGTCTCGAAACTCCACAAAAAAAATCAGGGATTAGTAACACCAAATATGGATAATTATGGTAGGAACTGGAATAAGACCTCATCTCATCCTAAACATGCTTGCCATGTCCACTGGTGGATATTGTGCGAAACAAAAGACTCACAGCAGAAACAGATCCATTATGACTAAATATAAAGCAAAATATAATAACCTATGACTCAAACAATAAAGAGATCAGAGTTCAAATAGATAATATTCCTTCTTATAGACATGGAAGTCCCTTCAGATTATAATGTATCTTTAAAAAGCAATCAAAATACAAGGTCCTTGAAATCGAAATCTCAAAAATGGGACATATCAATAATTTCAGCTGTAGTTGCAGCCTCTACAATTTCTTTCCCTTTGTATCTCTTAAGAAATTTTGTCTTTCTGTTTCCTCTCCTAAACCATGTCCCGTCATCCATTTACTCAAGTTTATTGGAGTTGTTTTCCTCTGTTCCTTGCGTCTTCAATCTGTCCTGTGAGTGTCAGATTTTCCAAGCCCTCTTTTCTCATTATGTGCCCCAGAAATTTCAACTATCCATTCTTGATGTTAAGTATAAGTTTCCTTTTTGTTTCACTTGTCTCTAAAACTTCATTGTTGCTCACATCTTAGGTCTGGGATCGAAAAATCTGACAAATTGGAGCAAACACTTCCAACAAGGAAGAGACAACTGGTCACCAAACATGGACTATATCCGACGTTGGACCAATTGACTCAAGTACAAATCAACTAATAAAAAGAAAGCGAACGACATGGACTCGCGAAAAGTATCAGCAAGTCATGACATCGTTTTTCATCGCACTCGAAACTCCACAAAAAACATCACAGATCAGTAACACCAAATATGGATAAGTAAGTTAGGAAGTGGAATAAAACCCCATCTCATCCGAAATATGCTTGCCAATGTCCGCTGGGACTTTGTGCGAAGCAAAAGACTCTCACAGCAAAAATAGATCAGTTAAAACGAAATATTGAAGTCTTGAGTTATGCTTTATTATTTAAAGGCCACCGTACATCACAAAAATGTGCAAGCTGGATTCTGATAAAGAAAGATTGTCTGGCATCGTTTTTCATCGCACTCGAAACTCCGCAAAAAAACATCAGAAACACCAAATATAAATAACTATGGTAGGAACTGGAATAAGACCCCATCTCATCCGAAACATGCTTGCTAATGTCCGCTGGGGGACATCGTGCGAAACAAAAGACTTTCACAGCAGAAAGAGATTAGTTAAAATCTTTTATAACCCATCACTTAAACAATAATGAGATGAGAGTAGAAATAAATAATATATATTCTTATAGACATGGCAGTCCTAGTAGTCTGTAATGTATTTTTGAAGATCTTCAAAAAGGAAAAATCAAAATTCAAGGTCCTTGAAAACGAAATCTCAAAAATGTGGAACATCAACAATTTCAGTGGTAGTTGGAGCCCTCGGATTGATTGGAAAAGATTTCAATAGACACATTGAAGGGATTCCTGGTAACCCACGCCTTAAAGAAATATAAAAGATTGTTCTGACATGTACCTTACGAGGGGTTTTACCTATGTAAAATATGTGTGATTTAATTTTTTTTTTCAAAAACGCTCAGTTGAAAATTCTTCCATGATGCCATTTCCAACCATAGGTCCCTAGACGAAACCCGGAAAAATGAGGATATTCCAGAAATCAAAGGAAATATAATAATAATAATAATAATAATAATAATAATAATAATAATAGAAGATGTCACCATTCTATGGGATTATACCATCCACACAGACAGAAAAATTGAAGCAAATAGGCCGGACATTATTGTCAAAAACCAGAAAGAAAAAACTTGCCTACTAATTGATATGGCTTGTCCAGCGGATTGTAACATAGCAACCAAGGAATTTGAAAAACTATCAAAATACAAAGACCTGAAATTGAAATGAAAAAAATGTGGAAATTGAAAACAAAGAATAATACCAGTGGTAATAGGTGCACTTGGAATTATAAAAATGGAACAAAACAACACATTGAAAGAATCCCTGGAAACCCCAGCTTAAGAGACATACAGAAAATTGTCTTATTAAGTACAGCACACACACTAAGGAGAACTTTGTCTATGTAACGCTAGCAACTTCATCGGAGATAAAAAAAAAAAAAAAAAAATTAACATGAAATGTGGCCATAACAACACACCACGACCTGCCTTAGGTCTTTCCGCAGACTTGGTAGGTAGTGTGTCCATAGCAGAAATCGAATGATGATGATGATAATAATAATAAAATTGTTCTCTCGAGTACAGCACACACATTCGAAGGGATTTATCTATGTAAAATATGTATGTGTGTTTTTTTGTTTTTGTTTTTTTAATTAGTCAGTGCAAAATGTCATCATGCCATTTCTAACCTTAGGTCTCTGGTCGGGACCCGGAAAGAAATGAGCTCACACAAGAAATCAAAGGAAATAATAATAATAATAATAATAATAATAATAATAATGATAATAATAATAATAATGATAATAATAATAATAATAATAATATATTTTAACTTTAATTGATTGAAGATGTTAATGTTTTGACTTAGTGAATTAAAACGGAAAAAATATCCCGATATATATGACAAATTCGCTTCGCCCCAACGAGCTGGAAAATGTCACATGACTCATTGCGCATCTTTATGCATCTCTGTTCATGGGCGGGAGTAGTTGGGGGATCAGTTTAAAGTTTGGCGGATGAAGTAACCAATATGATTTCTGAATAGATAATTGGGAACAGCCATAATTGGAGACACCAGATCAGACTGGGTTACCTGACCTAAATGCACTGCTTATATTAAAACCGCTTATCACATCACGCATATTTCCATGTGATGCATTTGCCTAATCAGACTGGGTGTCATCATGCGTGTTATAAGATTCGTATATAAATACCCACGATGGATTGAAGGATATAGGCTCGGCAGTTCGAATTCCAGTCGAACTCATTACGTGCTAATAACTTTGAGAAAGGTATGAATCCTCTTCTTCTCTGCCCCGCCAGCTATGTGGAAAAGAAAGGAAATACCGGGTTCTATAGCCTTGGATGGCAATTGGTCTACCGAAGAAAGAAATGGCAACCTACTGCGGGCATAAAAAATCTGCCTCGTCAGTCATGTATCGAAAACTACATGATCACCTAATCGTGTATCACGCATGGCACATAACTGATATAAATACCCCAGCATCATTTTGTTGGCACCGCAGCTCTCTCAAATAATAATAATAATAAAGAAGCGAAAAAAGAAGAAATAAATAGAAGAAAGAGTAGATAATATATAAATGACAAGATAAAACACAATAAAACAGCAAATGTATAAATACAAATTCAACAGTAAAGTGCATGTGATTAATCAATTCGTTTTTACGGTTTGTCAACATTTTATAGGTTATTTTTAAGCCGAATCATAGTTTTGGATTGTGGGAATAATTCTTCTTTTGCGAGTGAATAACGTATTGCAAATTATCTGAAGATAATAATGATTTTCAGGGGAAAGTCCTACTAATTAACCCGTAGATGGGAGGAGAAAGTGTTGATTCATACCTTTCCTAAGTGCTCTTGTACAGAAGGGAATGTAACAAATCCGAGATAGATAGATAGATAGATAGATAGATAGATATGAACCAATTTAGATAGATAGATAGATAGATAGATAGATAGATAGATAGATAGATAGATAGATAGATATGAACCAATTTAGATAGATAGATAGATAGATAGATAGATAGAAACCGAGTTAGATACATGGATATGAACCGATTCAGACAGGTAGATAGACAGATAGATATGAAGCGATTTAGATAGATAGATAGATAGATAGATAGATAGATAGATAGATAGATAGATAGATAATGAACCGATTTAGATAGACAGATAGATACATAGTTAAATAGATAGATATGAACAGA